CAGTACTGTGACCATAGCCGGTAAGAAAACTACGAAGGCTTGGTTCACCATCTATGAAATTGAAGTAAAAATATAACCAATCCCTAGAGTCATTTTGAAGATCAAATGAGATCATGTGTTTCAACTCTGTTTCAGGAGAGGAACAATAAATTGTCTAACCCAGTTTCTGGCATGCGGCAAATATTCAATAAATGTTGGTGCTGTTGTTGCTGCTGTTTCATTTCTGCTAAGTTAAGACCAATGAAAGCCAGTCTCAGGTCCCGTAGTGTCTGGCACACTCCCAGCTCTGACTCATCGCCCAGTTAGATAAAAGAGTGGGAGATGAAATCACTTCAGATCTGATGTCTCCTCTAACTCCACCATTCTCTGAGTTTCCCTTTCTATGACTGAACACACGCTAGACTCAGAAATGCCTTGAGTTCTTCCGATCCCACTCCGCCTCAGTAACATCTCACAAAAACAGTGAACCTGAGCATCCAAATAAAGCAAGAATATACGGTAAGACCTAAGACCACGGCAAAGTAAAGGAGAGAGAACAACATGACTACAGTTCTTTCCTTTACTCTTTATCCCCTGTTACAATGCCTGATGCGTACTGAATAAATGCTTATTGAATTAAATATCTACTGGAATTCTTACTTCCTTTATTCTCTGTGTAATGAACGTGTTCCCTTTCCTTGGCCACTGAGCAAAATGACGTTCAGATTCTGATATGGTTTAAATCGAGAATGCCCACCAAGGCCTCATGTACTCACAGGCAGAGTTTTTGGAAGGTGAGTGAGTGGTGGAGGTCTTACAGCTGACTTGCTGTTGGGACACAGGAAGTGGGCCACCGGGGGAGACACCTGGCAAAGGGTACATTTCCCCACGGGGTTCCTCCCCTCTCCCTGTTTCCCGGCCACAATAACATGAGCAGTTTTTCCTCCAACATGCCCACCTGCCATACTGCCTCTGCCTTGGAGGCAGCTGACCATGGACCATAACTTAAGCAAAAATGAACCTCTCATCCTTTATATTGTGGGTTTCAGGTATTTTGTCCCAACTACAAGGAAAGTGACTAGGACAGCATCATATTGTGAGTGTTTCTTAAGCTATGCAAGGGATATTTACTTTCTACCCACACTCTTGTTTAAAATAACATCCTCTACAACTAACCAGTGTTGAGTTCTTTGTCGTGGAAGGACTTTCAGTTTCTTGCATAATGAAACCCATAAATCCATAACTAAAATTCACAGTGTAATAATTGAGAAAGTCGCTATGTTGAAATATAGCTCCATCCAAGGACCCTCACTGTTACTAGACCCCAGGTAAGAACCCTGAGAAGAATTTAATCAGTGCTGATCCACTCAAATGCCCTTGATCCCCCACAATTCTTTCCTCTGATCCAGGGAAGACAACTCCCTTGAGTTGGACATTTCAATACTGATTTTTTTTTTCAGGAGATGTTACCTAAACTTTATTAAAAGAAAAGAACAAGTTTAAATATAGACACTGGACGAGCCCAGCCTGTTTTTTCAAGTCCACATTCTTCCTGTGAAGCATTGCATCAGGGACCCCCTTGAGTCTATATGTTTTCAAGTTCACAGAACATGGAACCGGTTTTTCTTTTTAATTTTTTTTCCTCACTTAGAGCAGCCACACACAGTAGCCATAGATGCCAGAACCTTGGATGGGGCCTTTTCCTAGGAGGCCAGGTCAGAGCCGGCCAAGGATTCTCCTCACTGAGAATTGATGCTGCTGTGCTGTACGGATGGGAAACTAAAAGTGCCTGGTACATGTCTCACGAGAACCATTTGGATTCGCTATGTTCCAAACCACTGGTCCACTTTGTGTGTTGAACAGTCCGTGGCCTTGGAATAGGTCTCAGTGTGAAGAGCTGCTATTGGATGCCCCAGAGATTGATGCAAGGGCAGCTCCAGCAGGGCTGTTCGTGGAGACTGACTTCCAGATGCGAGGCAGCAAGGAGGAGTCACAGGCCACCTGCTGGACATCGACGTGGTCTGCCTTTGGTAGACCGAGCATCCCCAGATAAGGGCCTTTATGTCAAGTGTTGCTATTGGCTTCAGCAGGGACCATACTTCAGCAGCCTGAAGTAAAGTATTCTCTTAGGGAATGTCCTGCCAGGACTGGTTGTGGCCAAAGGGGCTTCCTTCCGTAAAGACACTGGTAGAAGATCGCACCCACTGACCAGAAATCAACTTTATCTGAGATCTTTGATGGTTCTTTTCCAACCACAAAACACTCTGGTGCTAAGTACCATTAAGGACCTTGTGATGTTAGCCCCATGCCATCCCCTGAATTATAGCTATCACCATCCGTGATCTTGGAAAGACCAAAATCTGTCATTTTTATCTCTCCACACACTGTACCATCTACTAAAAGAATATTATGTGGTTTGAGGTCATAGTGTATAATGGGAGGTTTTATCTTATTTAAGTACTTTAAAGCATTCACAATCCACAAGACAGTGCGTCGGGCTTCTTTCTCCAACATTAATTTGTGCTGTTTCAGGTGGAAGTCCAGATCACTCCCCTCACAGTACTCTAATACTGTACAAAATGAGTCATTGTCCAGTGAAAAGTAATCACACAGCTTAACTATTCTGGAATGATCTAATTCTTTGTGAATAGAGTATTCCCTACATGCATGCTCATGGTAATTCTCCTTCTTCTCATCTCTCCAGTTTTTATTTAACTGGTGATTTTTAAAGCTACATACCTCTGCTCTGTTAAATCAAATGCCTTGTAAACTTCACTGAAATCTCCTCTACCCAAAAGATGTAACAACAGGGATCGGTCATTGAGCACTGCATGATCTTTAAGTTACGAATTATCTTCGTTATGCATCCTTTTTAGTTCCCTGACATGTACATTTCTAACCCTTTCTAGCTTGGCCTGGATCTCTGCTTCCTCCTTTACCAGGTGGCCTCATCTGAGTTTGAAGATTTCTTTTTACTCACGGTACTCTGCTAATGTTAACATGTCATTTTCAGCTCCATGGGTCTTGCTTTTCTGCTGTTTCTGCTCATTGGTTGCCAGAGGGGCCTGACCCACGGCAAGAGGTTTCTGCTTTCCTAACATTTCCCATGGTTTTTCTGTCTCTTCCCTCTGAGAAGTTGTCCTTTCCTGTTTCCTGAGAAGATTCTGGAAAGCATAACCACCTGTCCATTGTTCAGTAAGGAAGGCCCGTGTGGACAGCAGTAAAGTGGCGCAGTCTGCATGTACTTATTGCTGCATGCCGTCTTCTCGTTTTGACTTTTCTAGAAGGACTTTGTTGCCCATTGTGACACAGCTGTTTAATCACTCTGTATTTCTCTAGCATCTTTTGCCGTTCATCAATTTGCTGTCTTAAATCACGGTTGGCTCTTAATAAATCATCTCTTCTTCCTTCTTTTCTAAGTCAGAATTCTCACTGTTTTCTAGTGAAGATCTTTTTTTCTATTGTGAGGTCACATGGTTCAGCTTTTCTTTTCCGATTTCACTGGCCATTCTCCTTTTTCTCAGGGGTCTGTACTCCTTTATCACTCAAGGATCCCATGCTCCACAAACTCTGGTTGAAAGACTCACTATTGAGCAGCGCCCTGTCATACCTGTAATACTGCTCTCATCACCATATGGTCTCTCCTGTCCCTCCACATTGCAGCTATGGAGACACTGTGCTAAGGTATCATCCACAACACCTTGCACAGTGCTTAACATGTGGTAGGCACTCAATATCTTACTAACTCCAACTGTTGTAAACCTCCTAATAATTCCTGCCATCATGGGTCCAGACTATGCAATTTTCCCATCATTTCTGCCACTGCTTCAGGTCCATACTTTTTCCAGGAGGGTCCTCAACCCTACCTGGCTGCAGGCCAGGCCACTCTCTCCCAGGGCAGGCCCAAGACTAACTGTACTGATTTTTACATTCTCTTTTCAGGGAAGAATTGTTCACCTAAGGCAGCACTGAGTTGTACTTCTGTGTATCTCTTAGCCAGGAGCCACCCTGGGCACCACTTAGAATATGCATTACTAGGTAGCTCAGTGCTCAGAGCAATGACTTTGCAATGAGTCAAGTTTCTACCTCCAAAGCATAGGAATGAAGGAAGTTGTATTGCAGCAAAGGTGTAAATAAGGGGTCTAGCAGAGAGCCTGGCTGAGGGTTAGTGTTCCAGAGATGTTGATTTCCTTCATCCACACAAATAATGGAAATGCACCATGTGCTGCTTACCTCCCATTCGCCCCTTCTAATCCAGTCTTCACCCATCTTTGCTGACTCTTTTCTGCAGAGGGGTTGGCTGACATGGGCAGTATAGAGAGCCCTTCCCA